GACACAGATTGGATTTGTACATGTACCTATCCATCACTTTTCAATACAAACAACAAGACAACAAAGACAGTTACATAATTTTAAAACATATTCAGTTATGGAGCATTGACGACCTTTTTAAGAAGGCAAATAAATTCCATCCTTCAAGAATAGACACTTAAAACTTGAAAGTGTTTTCGCAGTGTGCTTGTGCAAGCCCCTTGGCATTGGCAGATACCCATTCTGTCAAAGCAAAACAGCCTGCAAAATTAGGGCCTGGGATTTCAAGACAGTCACGAGTTTAATTCTAAAGAATAACATCAATATAAAACAATGTTTATTTCATGGTAAAAAAAAAAAAAAAAAGTAATTACAGCCTTATTTAACAATTTCATGTTTCTTAAATAAATTTCTTTTTTGTTGTTTTTTCTTGGCAGTTTTTTCCTTTCCCACTGAAAACCATTGTATAGGTGGCTGGAAACAGATTCAAAAAGCTTAGTAGTCTAACTTCATCACTTAACACTTCTAGATGTTTCCCAATGTGTGGCTATTCTAGACCCTTCTGTCTGTTTTCCTGCAAAGACTCCATGGAAATTTCATCCAGAATCATGGTATTTTTCTTTATGCTGACAGTCATGTAAACATGCAGTATTCAAGATCAATCCTAAGTGTTTGTGTATGCCAGTCAAGGATCAGGGTCTTTAGAGAACATTCTTTTGTGTAGGTGTTCTGAACCTTTCACAGTTACTTTTCCTATCAGTAGTACTCAGGACTGCAAAATTTGCCAGTGTTTGTTGTCCCCTACATCTGAGAAAGTAAAGAGCAAAGAAGTAAAGGGCGCCTATCAATATTAGCATCCTTAAGGGAAAAACTTTGGATTCCATTATGTTCACTAATGTGTTATCACCATCATGATATACTGGTTATAGTTCTCTGTTACCAATAGTAATCAGATTATATTTTTCAGTGTATGCTTGTAGAACCATTAGTTTATAACTGATAAGTTATTTACTGATTAGTAATTGACACAAACAGACAGTATGAAAATTAATGTGAACCACTACTTTATACATTTAGCCAACATTTTGTTTCTGTGCACACAATCCCAAAGTGTTGTGTTCAGCAGCATATATATGTAGACATCAGACAATATGCAGTTTCCCTTCTCTGCCTTTGTTTTCATCTCAGAAAATATATTTATTCAGCGGAACTTCAAGATCCTGCAGAAGAAATATACCATATGTTAACAGTCTCCTTCTGGTGCGCACTGCTCCCTCAGGCTATAGCAGTTTGAGACAAGATGATAGCTTGACAGTGTCGAGTGATGATTTCCTGAGGCAGCGACCTAACAACCAGCCATTTAAAGGGAGGCTAAGGGCACCCTGCAGTCCCATAACAATAATATTGTTAATGTCACAACAAAGTATGAAGTACCTTACTGCTGGGACAGCTAGTAATTAAGGGCACAGGACTAATATAGACTTGGGCTGTCTGTAAATCCCCTGCAATGTTGCAGTACATGCTGCATATACCAAATGTAGGTATCCAAAGCGCAGAGTTCTTAGTCTGCCCCACTCTGCCAGTGGAACAATCCTTACAGAGATCCTTTTTCAACTCTTCTCTCACTGGAGTGTGACAAAAATTTAAGCTACATACTAAAGAGTCTTTGATGCGCCAGCCAGCAGAGGGCACGGATGACACACACAGACACTGGTGGTTACATTACAACGCTTTCACTGAAAAGTTCAATAGTCTTTCTATTCTCTTTAGCAAAGCAGCTGCTTAACTGGCCTACAAACAGTCTCTCACTAATGCAGTGCCTCATTAGCAGAGAAGATGTACGGCTTATTCTACAGGGATTTTTTTCCAAACATTTGGTATATCAGGACAAATCTGAAAATACCAGAGTGAGACATCACCTATTCGCATGCTCTCCTCTGGAGATTTCACTTAGCTGAAGGTGTCTTCTCATTAAGATCTTGAGCGGTGACTAAAATCCATGCTTAAACTGCAGATAATGTGATCTGATCTCTTTGGTAGTAGTCTGAACTAGAGCTGTGGGTCCCAAGCAGCTTGTTTCTTCCCAAATGTGGAAATATCTGGATATGCAGTATTAGTTCCGGTCAAGTTTTGCTGACCATTTATAGTATCACGACCATCATAATCTCAGACTTAAGATCCACTGTTATAAATTTTTATACCGCAAGTAAGTCTCTGCAATGGAGTAAGCTGCTTTATTGCCACTTCAGAGATTCAATGTGCTATGTGCTGCATGGCCCCATAATACTGCTAAATGCTAAACTGGTCCTGAAGTGTGTAAATCTCAATAGACAAGACAGAAAAGTGAAATACTTTATCAGTGGTTAAATGTTTCCCAGAAAGATTAAGTGGCTTGTCTACAGTCACACAGGATAATGAATTGTGGCCTTCTGTGCAGCAACTCAGGCTTTTAGCTGCAAGAACAAATGTCCTCTGAGCTGCTAATTGTAGCAAGGTAGCAATACTTTTACATACAATATTCTATTAGCAAACTGCAAAATAAGGAATTGGCTTTCATAATCATACAGTTGTGCAAAACATATAACATTTTAGAGCAATGCAACGGATCACTGAACTTGCACAAACCCTCCAAGACTTTTTCATACACTGTATTTTGCCCCCCTAGACACTGTAAAATACTTCAGTCAGCATACAGCTAAACTAATGTTTTGGAACATACCTGCTGGTCTTTTATGAGGATATGACTGAAATGTATTTTGTCAGAATAAGTTACTGTATCTGCAATACACTGTTTCTTTAAGCTTCTAACACTATGAGCCTTAAGCGCTCCTGCAGAATTTAAAAATTCTTGCAAAAATTCTTGCAAAAATAGAGACTGCTCAATTTTATGTGAGTTTTCCCACGCAGTAATCAGAACCACTTTATTTCCACAAACCACTCTCACAAATGGGCTGTCTTTATTCCACATGTTGCCAGCTAGGTGATTTGTGGTAACAGGAGAAATTCTTACATTTTTCAGTTTCAGCCAGAAACATTTCACCTATTCACTCAAAATTTGGTAACTGCTTTGGCTTAAACCAGTTTTTAAAAATAACAAGATACATAGCAGAAAAATAGTGTTTTGCCTGTGAATTATTTCCTGGTCCTATGAATATGAATCAGGAGCCAGCAGTGTGCCCAGGTGGCCAAGAAGGCCAATGGCATCCTGGCTTGTGTCAGCCATAGCGTGGCCAGCAGGGACAGGGAAGGGATCTGACCCCTGGACTCGGCACTGGTGAGGCCGCACCTTGATTCCTGTGTTCAGTTTTGGGCCCCTCACTACAAAAAGGACATTGAATGACTCGAGCATGTCCAGAGAAGGGCAACAGAGCTGGTGCAGGGTCTGGAGCACAGGTCGCACGGGGAGTGGCTGAGGGAACTGGGGGTGTTTAGTCTGGAGAAGAGGAGGCTGAGGGGAGACCTCATCGCCCTCTACAGCTACCTGAAAGGAGGCTGCAGGCTGCAGAGAGCTGGGGATGAGTCTCTTTAATCAAGTAATTAGTGATAGGACAAGAGGGAATGGCCTCGAGTTGCACCAGGGAAGGTTTAGACTGGATATCAGGAAGCATTTATTTACAGAACAGGTTGTTAGGCATTGGAATGGGCTGCCCAGGGAGGTGGTGGAGTCCCCATCCCTGGAGGTGTTTAAGAGTTGGGTCAACATAGCACTGAAGGATATGGTGTAGTTGGGAACTGTGAGTGTTTAGGTTAATGGTTGGACTGGATGATCTTCAAGGTCTTTTCCAACCTAGCTGATTCTGTGACCCATTCAATCCGAATAACCCAGTTCTTCAATTTCTACTTTACCCATGTCTCCAGTGATTCCACTAGTTATGTTTAGCATAAATGGTAACTGGCTGGTAAATTTGTGACTGCTGGCTGAGTCAAGGCTTTACGTATGTACTGAATGGCCATCTGGCTGCTACTAAGAGGCAAACAGAAACAGCAGAGTTCTGGTACACTCTCCCTCAATGCAGGATCTCATGAAGTTCCTCTCTTTCACTGTGCCACCAATTTTCAAGAAACTTCAAGAGCTGTACCATGCTCTGAAACTGCTGAAGACACCATCACTGCCTCAGAGTGTCATCCAAAATTCTGATTCTAACCCCAAATATCAACGCTAGGGAACAGCATTAGACAAAGGGACTACCTGTATCAAGGGAAGCACCTTATGCTACCGGGGGTGGGGTGGGGTATGGGTGTGCCTGTTTGTTTGGAACTCACCACTTAAATTTGACTCTTTCCTCCAGATTTTATCTTAAGAGAAGCAATGAAAAATAATTCCCTAATATTACCATTGTGTAGCAGGGCCAGCTACGGCATTCAATTTCCTTCTGGAAATGTTCAATTAAATTTACATGAGCAAATAAATGAGTATCTGTAAAAAAAAAATCTTATAATTACACTATGAGTCATTTTGACTGTATCTACAACCAGGACATGAAAAAGCGTACACTTTTTCACTACAGCTAGACCAGAACCAATTGCTCTTGACAGCAAACTCACAAGAGCTTCCAGTTTTTGTGGTCTGACTGACATAACCAGTGAGGTTTGTCACAAACTGCATTCTCTAAAATGCTGAATTAAGTTTCTAAAAAGAGCATGAAAAACAAATTTCAAAATGTTTTGATGAATTTGCTATGTTTTGGTAGTAGCAGTATCCATACTAAATTTTTGAAGTGCCTTGTTTATATCTGTGTGAAAGTCCTCCATCAATCAATACCACCAACACTGCAATCTTCTAGAGCATCATGTATAATTTCAGTGACAACTTTAGAGACTGGTAGATGGATCCAGGTTAAGCGTTAGTTCTGTATTTATGGTGAAAACAAGACTTTCTCTAATGCTGTGTGGCAAGACTGTATGTTAAATGTTGTTTATCCAGTGCAGGCAGAGGAAGATTCCTGGTGAAGCGGCATGTCCTGTCATTGCTCACCATACAGAACCACTGTCACAAGCATCTCCTGTTGAGGCAAGGAAGCATGCCAAGGGAGAGTCTCAAAAAACTGCCAAAGAAGAACCCAAATAAAACCACGGTAAGCCCTGGGTCTGAAAAAAAACCAAACAGATGAACAATTCAAGAAGGGAGGAGTGGAGGTTCTAGAGGCATGAGAACCGCCATCACCGGAGGTGAAGGACATACAAAATCGACCCTGTCAAGAGGACCTAAGTCCACCACCTCTCACAGGCCAGTGCCGCAAACGCGGCCGTGGGCCAGCCCTGGCTGGGTGCGGGGTGCTGGGCAGCCAGCCCAGGGCGGCCGGGCCGCCCCCTCCTGCCACACTCCGCAGGGACCAGCGGTTCTCCTCAGGCCATCCCCGCCCTGTCCGTCGCGGTGCCCGGAGCCGCCCTGCTGCTCCCCGGGGCTG